TGTCATGCGAATTGAGGAAAAATTAAACCGTCTACCCCCTTCGTTTCGATTTTCCTATACATACTTGTCAAAGAATCTTACACTCTCTTTCCTCTTTGAGCGTGAGATAATATATGCATCACCCGGGGCGACCCCGGCGTACTGGTTAACATCCTTACCTCTCACGCCAAAGTCACGAGTTCAAATCTCACCCCCGGACAAGTCACGAATGACCCAAGAGTGTTAAAGTGACTATAATAAAAAAACAAAAACAAAATATGCATCACCCCCAATTAATTAACTGTGGCCTATCTTACCTTTCTCATACATGTTATGTAGAAAAAAGTGTAGGAATTAAATTTAATGTTTAGTCTTATCTCCGAGTCCAAATGTCCGTTTGAGATAAATTCAATATAGGATTCAATGAGAATGTTTTAGTTCACAACTCCTTACAGACTTCATGTGGTGTAGAGGAGAGCTTAATTCTCGCATAGATACTTTAAAAAATATCACACAATTTGAGCAGAAAACGGATATCCGAACAAGTGGTAAAGGCTTCGTGAAACACTAAATTTGAACATTTACCAACTTGTAGAGATACATCGTATACAAACATAAAAAAGAACCATCAGCAAAATTCGAATGGTGCTACCTACAATTTATCTTACTTGAAAAGCTATTGTCATGAACCTTGCCAAAAGCCTACATTATTAGTACTGTGTTATCATCCTATCAACCCAGGCCAAAGCAATAAAGCGGAATATGTATACTATTTTGCTTCCACATTAAAGCTGAACACAAATATCTGGTGTCAACATAATATACAACACCGTCAATGGGCATCGATCAAAGCTACGATAGGTACGTCAAGATGTCGATGAATGATAATTTAATAAGTTAGCAATAAGGCATCCACGCAATCTGTCCTCGAGTACGCAGGGAAGAGGAGAGCTATATTTGTGCCGTGATTGTTGCTTAGTTCGTTCAACGATCAATAATGCTGTTATCATATAATCTGATGACAACAATTGAAGCCCATTGTCTTATCAATGACTTACTCAGACCACATGTATTCACGGAAAGCTATGCCCATCCTTCTCTAAAGCAGATCTTGAAGCAGGTTAACCCGAACGGTTAGGAGTACAAGGGTTTATTTTTCGATTGGATTCCACGCAAAGCTGCAATCGATGATTGTCTGAGTACTTCAAAACTGATAAGATATACCTGATCTACTCGGTCTGGTTGACAACACGGTATGTTCAAATTCACATGTGGTTGTATTGGTATTGATGGGAGAAACAACCCCGAAAATCTCCTCCTATTTTTCAATGAAGATAATGAGGATAAGTGCGATTTTCTTTTCCGGTTGGTTTATTCAAAAGGTAGCTATCAGATATTGCCAATATGAAGTAAAAAACAGAACGGGAATCCCCCAAAGGTGTCGGTTGACACTAATTACATTAAAAAAGCACGATTGATTGGAGGAAGGCCAAAAAATAGCTCTTCGGCGAATTCATGTCGAACGCCGTTTAATATTTTTTTAAATCATATTAGAAAAAAAAGATTATCATAAAGATTATCATAAAATTTACGTTGCATTAAGAGCATATTTGACCTTTAATATTAACTTATATTAATATATATTTTGATATTTTTGTCACTATTGAAAATTTAGTCGTTTGCTGAATTTATGTCTGGGCCCAAATTAGGGGCATTTAGGCCGACATAACATCCATTCCCACTATATTTTTTTTTATTCAAATGACAATGGGAGATTTTTAAATTTCCCTAACATTCATGATTTAAATTAACCAAATGAAACGTAACATTGAACATGTGGTTTCTATGACAATAGCCAACATCAACACATAGGTCACGACCAGGGTTGTTAAGGGGAAGTTTATCACCCCTAAAATAATTTGTTTTCGGCGTGTTTTCATTTTTATAAAAATATTGGGAAAAAAATCAAATATCCAAGAAAATCAGTTTTTTCTTAGATCTCTTTATGGAAAAAAGGACTCAACAAAACAGAAAGGTCGTTGTTCTGTGGTTTTTTTAGTCCAACTTTATTTTCATGATGACTAACAAAAAAAAAATTTGCCCGTGAATTTTCTTTAGAATGCTATTTTTGTTTACATTTTTGATATCTTCCAATATTTTTAGAAAAATGGAAACGTAACGTTTCCGGGGCAGTGAAATTTCCCTTAATGACGTTTAAGTCTTAAAATACCCAACGTTTTCAACTCGTCGGTGCTGTCACAAGCTTGTTTAATATGACCTTAAATAAAGTTGATATTGTTGACTGCAAATTTTTATCCATCAATTTGACATATTTCTACATTTAAACATCTCAATTTAAAGATTCTTGAATTCCCTAATAAACGGTACCATACACGGACGGTATGATAATTAGTAGGAGTGGAATGGTATTCTAACCCAGGTCCCCGAATAGGTGGTTAGATACTTATCACGAATATTTTTAATGCGAGTTGCTAGTAAACTAACCGTAACAGGGATAAGCTTAAGAGCCACGTACAATCTGTCCCGTTGTGGCAAATCTGACAACAATAGATTTAGCTGCCACTTTTCCGGAACGGTTCAGATCAGGATGCATTTTGCTCTGATCTTTATTGACCATTGCCATGTAGCAACAACATATTCAATTTTGACAGCATTTGGGTTACTTAATTAAGGTAAGAGCGATATTAGTGAAAATCCCCCACATTAATGCACCAAAATGTTCATACAATTTGTATATTTCTTTAACGACCCCTAAACCCTCATAAACCTGAACCATGTTTTGCTCAGCCTTATATTTTAGAGTTTTAAAATCTAACTAGGGGCGACTGCCATATCGTCAAGTCAAAACCGGCCATTAATGGAAATTATTACGATAACCAATCTCTGAATGTTTAGTTCTTTTTGACATAACACGAGCTAGCGCTATTGGTTTAATGTTCATATAGGAGATTTGGATGAAATTTTCATATACAAAATGCTCATATACATTCAAAAGCGAATATCTCAATCAAACTAGCTGGATTCATGATTGAACTACAAGTTTTGAAAATCTGAATCAAATCGAGAATAAGGAAACTTTTTTATGATCGATACAATATAGGAGTGTCATTTTTCATGTATTTTATCCAAATTCCCCATACAAAATTCAAACTAAAAGCGCCAGCTTTTTTTATTATTATTGGCAATTCTGTAGAAAGGGTTGTAAAACCATTCCATTGAATCCCTTGTGAGCGCCAACTGCATTCGTTTTGCACTTTGAACGCATGTTAAAATATATTGCTCTTACCGTTCTATTCTTATCTGTCATTTTAACGATCTAGTATTTTCCAAAAACACTTAATTCACACCATAAACCAACTAAACACGATTCATAGTATTGAAAACATTTAACTAGCACATATTCCAGTAGTGTTTCCTCACAGATGTTTTTTTCCACTCACTGCACAAACTAGTGGCAACTGTCCGCACGAGCCACGGCCAATCAACTGATGGGCTCCATCTCGAAAGAATCTTTGAGAAATATTATTCAACTGCCAATTAAATTACTCGGGAGTATTGGGAGAATCAAATGCTCATTCCCGTCTGTATGCTGCGGCCGTCTTTAACATGTGTTAAAGATCCAGAATAAAACACATACTCGCGCCTAGCATCTTGGTATTGTGAGGGAAATAATCAGCAAAATACACTAAATATGTGCGAATGCAATACATTCCAATACGGTATATCAGTTGCCGATGATAACGCAAAGGGTGTTGTTCTGCCCTGAATCAATGAGGCATATGAGTATTGGAGAAGATTACGTTTATCATTATTATTTCACTCTGGTGCAAACAATCTTAAGCACACTCTTAATCATCAATCAAAACAACCCATAGAAAAGTAAACGGAAGGGTTAAGGGTATATCGTCAGTTTAATAGTCAGCTACATTTTCATAGAGACTATCGAAAACCATTATGTTCTAACCTGAATTAGTAAATATGTGTATTTTTTCAAATTTCGGAAATGCCGGAGATTTCTAAAAAAATTAAAAATGTGTTCGAATTTACTTAGTACCCTAAAAAAAGCTGTTTACGTTTCTCATTTATCATGTTTTATTTTCAACGTTTAAAATATTTTGATTCAGCGGCTTTTTAAACAACTTTTAAAAATTATTTTGTTTACTGAAATCTGAACTTCACAGTCATATTTATTGTTTTACTTAGTATAAGTGAGATTCTGGGAGTGCACACTGGTGACAAACACATAAAAATGTCTCAAAATTCAACAACTGCCGTTCTCGCTGTAGAAACTTGTTCAAATTATTCCTGCAAGTTGAGAATCGGGCAGTTTTGTTCAAAAATCCCTTATTTTGAAAAAAAAATAGCTCTCAATTTTCTTAATTGTTATTCTTAGTACGGGTCTTTTCAATGAATTTCTGAGAATTATTCCCAAGAATAACTTTATTTGATAAAATTCTTTCATTGGAAACAAGACTATTCTTTTTTATTTTTCGAAAATACAGAAATTGGGGCAAAATAGGTCAAAATGGCAGCTTGCACATATCTGCGCTAGTTGAAACCATTTTTATTCGATTCTTGAGATGTTTTTCTATTGAAAATCAAATAAGAATTATTTCTATCATCACAATTAAAAGATTTGAGATTTCAACCAAATTTTAGGTTTCAATGCGAACATCGTCTAAAACCCCAACTTGCACTATTCTGCGCAAAATGAAACCAGTTCCGCTCGATTCATAATATTTTTTTTTTCTTCAAGAAGAAACAATTTACTGATATTCCTCCAGTGAGAACTGGAGTTGTTGAATTTAGAGACATATTTTATCCCAAGTGTGCATAATCGAAAATGTCAATGTTCCATTCTGTATGTCTTCATCTGGGTGGAGTTGGGGTTTTTTATTTCCAAATTGACTATGGATGTAACACCGATAGAGATGATTATTGTCATACAATAGATTGTTGCATATTGTCATACAATTGAATAGTTTACACATTGTCCTTACCCTTGTAACTTTCCGTCCTTTCTTGTTCGACATTCTGTACGACTTTATATCCAACTATCTTACACTTAACACTAGTTTGGCACTATGGTGTTACGATGCACTTATAACAAAGAAAAATACTATTTCTTGATCTCACTTTTAATGATAACACTTTTAATGTTTTCTATAGGCACTCATGGTTGCTTCTCGGGATGCAATGTAAAACACAGTTCTCAGCAGACTGATGCTGCTTCCAACGCCTAGTGCTTCAGAACTGTTTCTCGGACAACACTGGAATGAACAGATCGACACAATGTAGAATGAAAAGAAGCAGATTCTTGTTGATGTATTCGACGTTGTCGTTTCAGTAACTATATCACCAGAACATTTCGCATAACATGCACCGTGAGCTAGCACATACATAGGAGCATATCTACCATGTTCTATTTAATCACCGTCTGGCACTTTGAAGATCGGCGGCGCTGGCTATGGAATGAACTTCGTCATTTTATACGGAGTGGGGACCCGTCATATGATTCACATTTCAGACGTAATCATGTGTCTAGCAACAGCCTCTTTGTTGTGATAATAAACTCAATCAATACTGCATACTTATTTCAGCAGATATCGTGCTAATACGATTCGATGGCTAAACCAAGCTATTTTATAATCACTACCAATGACCAACTGCGTTGCGTAACACCTTATCCCTAACGAAGAGAAGAATTGAAATGGAACATGCGCATACTGCAAAAAAACTCTCATTGAAGCGAGCTGGACAACAACTGATGATGGAAAAATCCGCACTTTACTTATCTTATCACGTAGTAGACTCATCTCTCTAGTGCTTCCTCAAGAATTAACACAGTATTCTAGGTAAAGTTGGCAGCACGGTCATAATCAGTATAGTCCAAGATGGTAACATTGCGCTACGTGAACTATGATGCGATGTAAGTACAAGTGAGGGAACGTTAAACTCGCAGTTGAGTTATGAAAGAGCTTTCTTAATTACAGTCTGACTGTTTGATGAATGATTATCGTGTTGGTTATTGTATTCAAGGCTGAAGAGTCTGATGGTGCAGAGGTCGGCCACAAATGTAGATAAGTTCATGATGTAATATGTGCTAGTGTATTATGATACATATTGGTTCTGAATCGGTACTGCTACTGCCACATTTTCTAGAAAACCCACGTGAATTCTTTCAGTTAAAAGGCCGCAGCATACCTAAAAAACATTGACAACTGCATTAAAGCTTAATCAGGCAAAAATATGCTTCTTCACATAATAATTGGCTTCTTCCACTTTAGTTCAGTTCAAATTGTTTGTTGGGTATTGCGCATCCCGAATTCATTGACGTTCATGTAATAAATTTATCACACGTGAGCACAGCCATTTATTATAGCAGACAAACACGGTTATAATTTGGGCAAACACTCACCGCGGCGTTTCCTTAAACGATTCTAGATTTTGATAAATTCAGTCCTCTATATCCGTAGCACGCGCGAGAGGCTTAAACCTTTGTAGACTACACACAATTACAATAAATTGAACATTTTGCCAATCCATCTCAAATAACTAAAAAGTTGATGTTTAGGGCTTCCTAGCCTTAGGGTTCACCATAACTTTACTCGCATCAAAATATTGACTAAAATATATGGAAGAACTTTCGCAAAGACACTATTTACCTCAAACTAATGGTAATGTGTGCCCTTTGCAGAGAGAGAGAGAGAGGCAATCACGCTTACAACTACACCTCCGGCACCGCTAGGATGTTAGATTAACAGCTAACGGATTCTGTTGAAATGACGTGATGAGCACCACTTGTTCAATTTATTTTTGTTTTGTTCTTTACAATTTACAAAAATCTGCATATAATTATCAGTTTCCTAGAACATACATAAGGTTACGTCCGTGTTAGAGCTTACTTTCGGCTCGTTTGTCTATACTCTATAGTCATGGCAAGCTAGTCCGTGATTGGTTGATTTGGGCCATAAAATTTTATCACATTTCAATAGTATACTACTGATTTACAATAAAAATTGCAATACCAAACAAATCTTTCATCAAATCTGAATCAAATGGTGTAATAAGAATTGAAATCCATTTATAAATAACCAAGTTAAAAGTTAGCAAAAATGGCAAGGTTTTAGCACAACTTTCATGATGCGGCTTTTTTACGATCAATCCGAATTATCCGTAGAACAAAGATATCCCCACAATAATAATACCTTTGTTGGTGAATACGCATTGATTCTAGTGATTCTGAACAATATCGGAAAAAGCAAATCAAAAGGTTCTAGGCAGTGCTGAGATTTGTCATTGTTAATGACAGGCTTTTGGGCGATATTGACAAATCCTCAGAAAAACCTTTGTCAAAATCTCATTCATTTTTTGTCAATTACAAAGATTCACCTGGCAACAAAACGTTTAGTTTTGTGCATTCTGTGTCACATTATTGTTATCCAAGCAGGTCAGGCCGTAGATGCTTGTTTACTTTAACAGATCTATGTATGTAATTGTTTCGCTCCAGTAATTTAATTTCGTTACAAATTAAGCTAATATAAAAATCTCCACATGTTCGTCACTGACAATTGACAGGGTTTGCCTTGACGATGACTGTTAGCTGAGTGACCAAAGCAACATTTTGAATATCGCCGTGTATTGTCGAGATTATGCAGCACTGGTTCTAGGACAACTCTTATGATTTGACCACTTTCCTGTCCTTCCGGATACTCCATTAGGCCAATAGAGGTTCCTTGTGGTCATACATGGTGTACTTTTGCTGTATATACTTATGAAGTATTATATATTTTCTGTAATGTACTTGTAGTTGTATGAAAGATAATAATAATTTGGTTGACAAGGGCTTACCCTATTTTACAGGAAACACGGGATGTTTCCGGCCCTATATGGTGGCAGGAAAAAGTCTCCGGACAATCGATTCAACAGACTTTTTCCAGCAAGAAAAGGTATAGCATCCCGAGCAGGAATGAATATCTCGAAACCAAAAATTGGTATGGATTAGCCTGACATAAAATACAAAAAATCGCACAATACCATTCCAATGCTAAATTATACAAGTACAATACCAATACAATACCCTACATGTATTTTTTAGTTTTCAAATATATTTATTAGTTATTAACAATTTGCACGCAATTTGTTGGTATTATTCTTAGGTATTTTACCTCTTATGTTAAGGCTGATCAACACCAAATTTTGGTATCAGATCAGATCTTTGGATATTTTTTTGCAGTGAGGTGGCACCATACCAAAAACGTTTTTTATCTGTTTTCCGTCGATCTTGTTTTCCGTATTGAGTACCAATGCTACCGACGCCAGGAATGCAGCTCCTACATCTGGACTCTACCTCTCGACCCATCAACTCATGGCCTGAAGACCAACGGCTTTTACTTCCCTCGTGATCAGAGATTTTATGCCTCAGAAAATCCCGACGGCACCGACTGGGATAGTACCCATGCCCTTTGAAGTGAACAATTTTCTGTTAACAATTCCAGAAACTCTCTTCGAAATCCTTATTTTATAGCGAATCAAAGTTAAAGAGGCAATTATGTTTCCTTATCTTACAAAAACATATATTTATTTATTTATTTGAATCAAATATTTCCGGATTATTCGATAATAATGAGGTAACAATAGAAATCACCAAAATAATCCAATATTTTGAGCAAAATGCTATTGGTGTAATTTGAACAAAAGGAAAACATCCTATGAAATGAACATATATTCATTACTTTAACTATTTGTCTTATATTACTTCTGCGTGAAGTCAACGATTTACATAGTTGAAGATGCTAATTTCAAATAACAAAAACTTTTTTTGACTTTAAATGATCTTTATTTCTTGTGTTTGTGTGGTTTACATGTATGAAAATTTTCAAGTGACACAGATGCGTCTTTTCAACTATAGTACATTTGAGATTTTAATTATTATTTACATTTCCTAGTCCTATCAGGCCTACCTTGGTGGGATTGGTTTGATAATTTCAAATAACAGACTAAAGTGGTAATTTTATACGATAAATGAGGAGATGAAAAACAGTCCGCATCGTGCTCTCTTGCCGTGCGGAACTATTTGCTTTTTGCTGAAGGAAGTGTTACTACTACCTAAAGCTACAACAAATTTAAATAGCACATTTCAGTGCTCAACCTGTAAAATTTCTACCTTGTTCAACTTTATTCCTCTTCGATCCTTGTTTGGACCCTACCCGAGGTAATCCTTCTTGGATATCGATTTGGAAAATTCCTCTTCGATCCTTCAGATTCTTATAGTAATCTGCTTGGAAGTCGATTTGGATAATGAGAATGATCCATCATCCAAGAAAAATTCTAGTAAACTTTCCCGGCTTAATGCCAAGAAGGAAAAGATTCCCCCTATTGTGATAACCACTTCCGATTTCCATGCTCTTCGCATGGAACTTTTGAACTTCGTGAAAGTTAAGTTTTCTCTACAAATTGGACGTCGGGGTGAATGCCGTGTATTGGCTGAAACCTTGGACGGATTTAAATGTCTTCTCAAGTATCTTACTGAGAAGAAGCACAAATTTTTTACTTACGACACCAAAACTGAACGTGTGTTCAAGGTTGTCATGAAAGGACTGCCCAGTGGTGAATCCCTGGATCAGATCAAAGATGAACTGGCAAAATTACTTGGAGTTGTGCCACTCCAAGTAATCAAAATGAAAACGAAATCCCGTCCTGGCGATTCGCGCAACGGGATTTCTAATGATTTCATTTCAGTGCTCAACCTGTAAAATTTCTACCTTGTTCAACTTTATTCCTCTTCGATCCTTGTTTGGACCCTACCCGAGGTAATCCTTCTTGGATATCGATTTGGAAAATTCCTCTTCGATCCTTCAGATTCTTATAGTAATCTGCTTGGAAGTCGATTTGGATAATGAGAATGATCCATCATCCAAGAAAAATTCTAGTAAACTTTCCCGGCTTAATGCCAAGAAGGAAAAGATTCCCCCTATTGTGATAACCACTTCCGATTTCCATGCTCTTCGCATGGAACTTTTGAACTTCGTGAAAGTTAAGTTTTCTCTACAAATTGGACGTCGGGGTGAATGCCGTGTATTGGCTGAAACCTTGGACGGATTTAAATGTCTTCTCAAGTATCTTACTGAGAAGAAGCACAAATTTTTTACTTACGACACCAAAACTGAACGTGTGTTCAAGGTTGTCATGAAAGGACTGCCCAGTGGTGAATCCCTGGATCAGATCAAAGATGAACTGGCAAAATTACTTGGAGTTGTGCCACTCCAAG